TTTTTTTTAGAACCTCTTCTGTAGGTGTGGCCTGCTTTGTGGGAGTGGCTTGCCGGCCATGTGACTGGGTGGGGGTGGCTTGCCAGCCATGTGACCAGGTGGGAATGGCTTGCCAGCCATGTGACTGGGTGGGCGTGGCCAACTTGTAAATGTGGTGAAACTCACCTTAACAACACTCTTGCTTAGCAACCAAAATGTTGACTCAGAAACTCTGGCATTTGAAGCATGCAAGTCTTAAAGCTGTCAAGTTACAAGACCCTTGCACCCCTAACCCTTTAGAAAAAAGAACCCCCAAGGGTGTTCAAACTTTAAGACTTGTGGACTTCAACTCCCAGAATCCCTTTTTAAAGAGTTCATATCAAATTTATGTGGAACTGACTTTGTTCAGATTTGCTAATAATATTTTTCTTATCGGCTGAGCCCCACAATTTGTTTATTTATTACATTTATTTACAGTGGTGTAGTGACCTAGAGTTGGAGCTCTTATCTCACAATCAGAAGGCTGTGAGTTCGATCCTATGTAGGGGCAGAATTTTCTTTCTCTGGCCACAAAGAGAAAATATCTGCTGTGAATTCCTCACAGGCATCAGGAAGGGCATCCAGCCAGTTTCTTTCAGTGGCCTCAATTCCTCCCTAATGCAAGGGATTATAGAGTCATTAAAAGAAAAAGATTTAAATTTATTTGCCACCCATCTCACTGCATGGTGACTCTGGGCAGCTTACAACATTGAAATACTTATCATTAAGTCCAGTTATGACTATTCAAAAACAAAATATATAGGATATCCTGAAAGAGAAAGAATTTTGTTTCCTGCCAAACCATACAAAACTATAGAGATGCTCTTTCTTTCATGCCTTACATTGGATTATTGTGCATATTATGCTGAAAGCAAAATGCTTGAGTCTGATCAGAGGTTGAAAAAATCAATATCATCCATAGTGTTTATTTTAAAATAGCAATAGCAAAAGCATTTAGACTTTATATAAGTCTAAATGCTATTATGCCACTGTAAAGCGGTTTAAAGAGTCAGCATATTGCCCCCAACAAGGTGGGTCCTCATTTTATCCACCTCGGTAGGACGAAAGGCTAAGTCAACTTGAGCCTGATGGGATTTGAACTGCCAAATTGCAGTCAGCCGGCTGTCAGCAGAAGTAGCCTGCAGTACTGTACTCTAATCACTGCGCCACCGCAGCTCATAAAATAGTGCTATATATGTATATAATTCACACATATAAGCAAGCTATAGCTGTGATGGCGAACCTATGGCACGCAGGCCAGAGGTGGCATGCAGAGCCCTCTCTGTGGGCACATGCGTCATCACCGGCTAGTCTTTTGGTTTCCAATGGGCGCATGCGCATCAGCCAGCTGGTCTTCGAGTTCCTGGCACTCCAGTGCACGCAAAGACCAGCTGGCTGATGCGCGCATGAGTACTGGCCAGCTGTTCTTTGTTTTTTTGGTGTTCCGGTGCATATTCCAGTTTGAGCACTTGGTGCTGAAAAGGTTTGCCCTCACTGGGTTATAGGCTTCCAAGCAGGATCTTATAGATAACAGCTGAGTTTGATCAGACAAAGATCAATAACCCAAACTGTTCCTATTAATTGACTAGATCTCATAGAGAGTTTTGCTAGCATGCTGACCTAGTGAAAAGTGATAAATAATATTTATTTGTCACATTTCTATACCACCTTGGTTGTTTGCAAACAGAAACATACAATAATGTAAAAAGCAAAAAGTGTTAAGATAGAATTAAGAGTCATGTTAAGAATTAAGGTTAGAAAATATTAAAGCAGCAGAGGAAGTATTTTCAAGCCACCCGCCCAGGGCAGTGTATCACTCCAGAAGAGTGGGGGCATCTCAACTCTGGGAGCAAGATGTTCCGTTAGAGGCAATGATAGAGAAGGCGCTCTTCCTAGATCCCACTAATTGGAATTATTTAACCAATTAGATCTGCAATATGCTCTCCCTGCCTGACCACATGGGACAGGTTGACGTAATTGGGGCAAGATGGTTCTTCAGATAACCTGGTCCTATGCCATGAAGAAAGAGACATGGTGGCTCAGGGGCTAAGATGCTGACCTTGTTGATCCGAAAGGTTGGCAGTTTGGTGGTTCGAATCCCTAGCACCACGTAACAAAGTGAGTTCCCATTACTTGTCCCCAGCTTCTGCCAACCTAGCAATTCAAAGCATGTAAAAATGCAAGTAGAAAAATAGGGACCACCTTTGGTGGGAAGGTAACAGTGTTCCGTGCTCCTTTGGCATTTAGCCATGCCAGCCACATGACCACAGGGACATCTTCGGACAGCGCTGGCTCTTCGGCTTTGAAACGGAGATGAGCACTGCCCCCTAGAGTCTAGCACATATATGCGAGGGGAATCTTTACCTTTATGCCATGAAGGGCTTCAAAGACAATAACCAACACCTTGAATTGGATCGGGAAGCAAACTGACAAACAACACGTAAATAACAATGTCATTCAGATGAGTATTCCATGAACATTCAAACATCATGCTGCAATTTACATTAAGTTTGCTTTTTTTGTCTCATCTTTTTCTTTACCTTTGAATGGCAGTAACTAGTGGTTTTGCTTTTGCTCGTCAGCTCAACAAGTTGCTAACATTTTATGGGAAGCCTGGTGTACGCTGTACTTGTTTGCACAATTAATACTTTCTTTGCTGTAGCTTCAAAGTGATTTGGTTGCTTTAAGTGAGTCAGATTTTGGCCCCGACATTAGAATTCTCCATACATTTGATACATTCTATATCTCAGACCTCGAGATGAGGAAGGCTAGATAATATTTAAAGATGAACTACAGACTGCAGGATGTAGTTAGGCTTTGATATACATTGATGAGATTAAATATTACTGGGTAAAAGCTATATATTAAATTCTACTCTGAATTACTTCCTTACAAGGAAATGTTTAGCTGAACTTTTCTTTGTAAGATTGGGAAGTAAAAAAAAAAAATTCAAAAGAGGCAAATGGCAAAGCTCTTTTGTATCACTACCAAGAAAATTGTGCTATTAAAACAGGTACTATGTTCATGTAGTCACCTGGAATCCAGTTTGATTCTAGGACACCTTTACTTGGTTAATAAATTCTTTTGGAAAGAATTTTAAACAGGTAGAATGATTTTATCAGATGATCCATAGCATAGCATTGTGTTTGCCTTCTATGACTGTTTTTTCCATTATTAATCAAGTCAGCCTTATTCTGGACAAGTTTTCCCGATTGTTGGGCACAATATGCTGACTCTATAAACTGCTTAGAGAGTGCTGTAAAGCACTAAGACGCAGTATATAGGTCTAAGGGCTATTGCTATCGCTGTTTCACCTATTTATTAAAGAAATCACGTTATCGACATCAATATGGCAAATGTCATAGTTTCAATCTTTTGGGAATTTTGTTATTTTAAGGGGGGAAACATGAGAAGCATTGTCCCAGCAATGTTCTCTATTCCAACCTACTGAAGGTAGTAGTGAACCATTTCTGTGAAGTAGGAAGGAATGGGAGGAAGACTATTGCCATGAAACTCTCTCCCAAGCTCTCTTATCAAGCAAATAGTGAAAGTGACTACAGTACTCAGGGCGGAGGGGGGGGGGGTAATGTTGGGACCCACAGCTGTTCATAGCCAAAGTTCATATTGTAACCTGTCAGCTGCCAGCAGAGCTGGCTGCAGACTCGGACAATGAGGAGATTGGGGAGGAACTTGAGCCAGTTCTAGAGTCTGGGGAAGGCTCTTGATGATTTGATTTGATTTGATTTATTGCATTTCTATGCCGCCCTATTTCCAGAGGGACTCAGGGCGGCTCACAAACCAAAGTAGGGGGGGGGAATACAAACAGGAGGAAAAACAACGGACAAACAACTACAAACAATTTAAAAACACTCAACAACCACACAATTCGAGTGGGGGCGGGGAACCCATCAGCCCCAGGCCTGTCGGAACAACCAGGTTTTAAGGGCTTTGCGGAAAGCCTGAAGGGTGGTGAGGGTCCGAATCTCCACGGGGAGCTCGTTCCATAGGGCCAGAGCAGCCACAGAGAAGGCCCTCCTCCGGGTGGTAGCCAATCGACATTGGCCAGTAGATGGAATTCGGAGGAGGACATTCAAAGTCAATGGGGAAACCAGATTCACTTAACAGCAATGGGGCAAAATTCACTTAACAAGTTTCTCAGTTAGCAACATAAATTTTGGGCTCAATTGTGGTCGTAAATCGAGGACTGCCTATCGCAGTTTCAACACAGTCCCAAACCCACTGCAGCAAACCCTTCGTTTATGGCGGCTGTAATCTGAATGAAACTCCGGAGATTTTATTTACTGACGTTTCAATCTAATTTCTTAACTGCAGAATCTTGACGAATGCACCTTCAAACAAACAAGGCTTCCAAAAAGACGAATAAGAGACTCGCAAAACTCACCACAAAATTGTCGGGACATTATAGGAAAACCAGCCTAAAAGCTGGTGACGGAAGAAGCGCAGGACCAAAAATGTTTGCA